GAATATTGATTTCCTCTTGGGGATCAGGAAATAATTTTTCCCCTACTGGAGCAAATTGGATCATGCTTTATTGGGTTTATTTTTTTCCTCTTCTTCTGGATCAACTGTGGGTATAGGATTGTGTATATGGAGGATTTGGTGTGTGCGCGTGCGCGTGCATGTGTGTGTATTTTTTCCTCTGTGGGTTGGACTGGATGGACTTATACCTTTTTTCAACCAGACTAACTATCTGACATCAACAGACAAGTACTAACTGCCAGAACATCAATGGGGTGAACTGTAAAAACTGTCAGATAATTGCTACCATTATATCCTGAATATTCAGCGATTAGCCAGCTCCGCTGGTTGAAATATGATTGTTCCAGACCAAGGTCTGATCTCTAATGATGGAAAGAGTGGAAGCCCTTTCCTATGAGTACCTTTAGCATCATAGATAAGATCACATTCATCTTTTGTTAGGTAGATGTAACCAAAGGACTTGCCGTGACTTCTTACCAGCAAAGGGGTTTATATGACACAGTCACACTAGGATGCACACTTTGAGTTGTGTGTTCGAGATTCCACACAAACACAGCTGTGTGAGTAGAAGGAAGTGTGACACAGACTCACACACACTTGAGACCGCGAGACAGTCATGTCTTTACAAGTCTACAGCTGCTCTGTGATACTCTGTGTCAACACGCTCTGTGGGTGCCTGTGTATCTAAGGAATCAATTACACTGCCCTGTGTGGAAAAGGAGAAAAGAAACTAGTTCTGTGTCTAAAATAAGTTACTGAATTGACACTACTCTTATTATATAGCATCTGATTGTATGCCCAGTCAGTGGTGCCCCTAGGCAGGTGCGGGGGGTGCACGCTGCTGCGGGTGACATCTATCGCATGGGGTGACACCGGACCCTCTCCACGAGCTCCACGAAAAGGAAAGTTTTAAAGCAAGCCAACGATCCCCGCAAGATGGATCAGATCTGCGGACTGAGCATAATGGATTGGAGTCTGATCCATTATGCTCCCCAATCCGCAGATCCGATCCATCTTGCGGGGATCGTCGGTTTGCTTTAAAACTTTCCTTTTCATGGAGCTCGTGGAGAGATCAGTTAACACCGTATAGGTTGTAAGCCGACGATCCCCGCAGGATGGATTGGATCTGTGGATTGGGGAGCATAATGGATCGGACTCGAATCCATTATGCTCAGTCCGCAGATCTGATCCCTCTTGTGGGGATCGTCGGCTTGATTTAAAACTTTCCTTTTCGTGGAGCTCTTGGACTGATCAGTTAACCCCGTATAGGTTGCAAGCCAACGATCCCCGCAGGATGGATCGGATCTGTGGATTGGGGAGCATAATGGATTGGACTCCGATCCATTATGCTCAGTCCGCAGATCCGATCCATCCTGCGGGGATCGTCGGAGTGGTGACAACAAGTGTTATGGCACCGGGTGACACCAACCCTAGGGACGCCCCTGTGCCCAGTCCAGTGGTAAGAGAACCTTGCTGAGCACAGGAGAGACATTAAGTCCCCAGTCACACTGGTGTGAATTGTCATGCGATTTGATAGTTTCATATTGCACAAGTCGCACCCTATTGTCCACAATGGAAGCTGTCTCATCGGTGCGATTCCGACTCCAGAGTTGCACCAGTTTGGAAAGTACTTCATACACTACTTTTTGCAAATTCAGGTGCAACTTGCATAGACATCTGAGCATAAAGGCGCACAGATGTCTTCCAAGCAGGGGCGGACTGACCATTCGAGCACTCGGGCACTGCCCGAGGGCCCGGGGTCAGTAGGGGGCCCCATGAGATGCCCCTGGTACCTTTTAATTGGCTTTTTCATAGACTTTATTGGGTGTGGGTGATGACACAGGGGCCCTGTGATCCCCTATTGCCCGGGGGCCCCTTGAGTTGTCAGTCTGCCCCTGCTTCCAAGTGCACCTGAAGTCGGATGTCATCCGACTTTGAAATCGTGTACATTCAAGTGAAGTCGCACGATTTCAAAGTTGGATTTGGTGTAACTGAACACTTACTTGCAGTTTGTAGCATTTTAGGTATGTGAAAGTATAACCCTAAATAATATAACTGTATTAACCACTTACCCTCTTGAGGATTTACTCCGCTTCCTGACCAGGCCATTTTTTGCGTTATGGCGCTGTGTTACTTTTACTGACAATTGCGCGGTAATGCAACGCTGCACCCAAATGAAATTTGCGTCCTTTTTTTCCCACAAATAGAGCTTTCTTTCAGTGGTATTTGATTGCCTGTGTAAAAAAAAAGACCGATAATTTTGAGAAAAAAACAGTATTTTTTACTTTTTGCTATTAAACATGTCCAGTATAAAAATTTACAATATCAAATTTCATCATAAATTTAGGCCCAAATGTATTCTGTGACATGTCTTTGCTGAAAAAAAAATCCCAATAAGTGTCAATTAATTGGTTTGCATGAAAGTTATAGCGTTTACAAATGGCGGTATATATACTAGGATTTGTTTTTACTAGTAATGGCGGCGATCAGCGAATTATAGCGGGCATTCTGACACTGGGGAGAACTGGCTTGGTATCACTGAAATCCCCAGTGACACCAATTCAGTGATCAGTGCTAATAAAAAGCACTGAGACTGTACTAATGGCACTGAGCAGGAAGGGGTTAACTTTTGGGGTGATCAAAGGGTTAACTGTGTGCTGTTTTACATAGTGGGCTGTGTCTGTATGCTTTGTATGGCTGTGCTATGAACAGCAATGCAAAGCAGTGTGCAGGAGCTGACAGGGGAGAGATCTGTGTTGTTTACAAACAGTTCTCCAGTCCCCAACCCCGCCCCGTCAGAGATGCTCGGCAAGCACTGGGCGCCAGTGAGTAATCAGCAGCTGGGACCTGGTGATTGACAGTCGAGACCGCAAATGGCGGAGCGGGTAGGACGCATAAGCGCCCCCTACCTGGAACTGCAAAATCATGTATATATATGTGATTTTGCGCACCTGTGCCACCCTGTAACAGTACTTCTGCTAGAGGGCAGACGGGAAACGTTTAATAAAGTAAGGCCAATATTCCATACCATGCAATGGCCATGCAGTGTGTGTATGTCAGGAATGGACTAGCCAGCAATGGTGGGACTCACCTGCCTTTTGATCTGCAGTACCAGGGCTGGCCAGCGGGTGCTCCCAGCAATCAGAGACCCAACTTTGCAGCCAGCTAACACCTGGAACTGATTATGCTGGGGTATTTAAGGGATGGCCAGACTTGCAGACTCTGCCTTGGTGTTGTGTTTCTCTTGGGCCCTGTATCCTGTTCCTGTTCCTGCTCTCTGGTCCTGTCTGATTCTCTGCTACCTGTTCTGATCCCTGGCTTGTCTGACCATCCCTCTGCCTGACCCTCTGTACTACGCTACCTGCTACCTGTTCTGATCCCTGGCTTGTGACCCTGACCATCCCTCTGCCTGACCCTCTGTACCACGCTGCTAGCTACCTGCTGAACCTGGCCTGTGACCCCGACCAATCTCCGCTTGCTCCCCCTGTACCTACCTGCCCAATTGATATCGACCCGGCCTGCCTGACGACGCTTGCTTGTATGTACTGTTATCTGTGGGTGGTTGGTTTGGTTTGTTTGCACTGTATTATGTTTAGTATTGCACTGCGTTGATGTTTGTATTGTTAGTGTTAATAAATTATATTGTTTATCACATATCTGAAGTCTGCGTTTCCCTGCGTCAGTCACACACCTCTGGTCACACCTGGGAGCCCTGACATTACACCAAGGCCAATCCTGACCAGAAGTGGCTGCACAGGGAAGCCATCTTGGCTTGTTGCTGGGAAGGATGGATCTTGATGAGGTTGTGTATTTATATCTGCTAGTGTTTGATGACAGGGAGTATGCTTATCAAACTCTGAAGGAGTATCCCAGGGATCAACTACTAGAATGTATACGGCTTGCTCATGTTCTAGTAGATCAGGGCACAGAGTTCTCTGAGGTGCAGCCTTTGATTGAGGTTTGTGCTGAGTTGGTTTCATCTGGTTCCCCCGAATGCAGGGATGAATTTTTGCCACCATTTAGTGCAGACCAGATAGAGTCCCTGGTGTGGTTATTAGAGGATGATGTGGGTTACTTTCTGGAGCGTTATTCCACATGTTCACCACAGACACTAAGAGATTGTATAAACGCAGTGCAGTCATTGACCAGACAGGCTTTGTGTAAGCTCAGCTTTGTTCAACCCATACTGCAGACATGGACAGACTTGTTGCACCCAGCCTCAGTCAGCTTACAAAAACCCAGTCCTGCTTCTAACTCTACTCCTGTATTCCCATCAGCTCCTCCAGTTACAGCCCAGTATACTTGGCTATCTACCGCATGTCAGTACCCTGTTCCCACTCGCTGCACCTATCCTGCCTTTAACCCTGTAAAAAAGCCCTCTGTAGCAACTGCTCCCTCTCCTGTTCCATCCTCCAGTTTTTCTCTGTCTCCAGCTGCTCCATTCGTTTGCAGACCTGCGTTTACTTGCAGTGCTCCAGTAGTTAAAACCAGAAAAAAGCGAAAATTCTTTCCAACCAATACCATCCTGCCAGTATCCAAACCGGTGAACCTGCCTTCCGTGACTCAGCCTGAAGCCTCTACTCGGCCTGAAGCCTCTACTCGGCCTGAAGCCTCTACTCAGCCTGAAGCCTCTACTCAGCCTGATGCCTCTCTTCAGCCTGATGCCTCTACTCGGCCTGAAGCCTCTCTTCAGCCTGAAGCCTCTACTCAGCCTGAAGCCTCTACTCAGCCTGAAGCCTCTCTTCAGCCTGAAGCCTCTACTCAGCCTGAAGCCTCTACTCAGCCTGAAGCCTCTACTCAGCCTGAAGCCTCTACTCGGCCTGATGCCTGCATTCAGCCTGATGCCGCTACTCAGCATGATGAACTGATCCAGCCCGACGATCCTATTAGGCCAGTTGACTCGATGCCCGCTGTTGATCCAGATGATCCGGTACCTGATCCAGTGCCCGCTGTCGTGCCAATTGACTCAGAGCCCGCTGTCATACCTGGTGACCCGGTGCCCACTGCCTTGCCAGATGACGCGGTGCCCGCTGACAAGCCAAATGACCTGATGCCTGGTGACCCAGTGCCCGCTGTCATACCTGGTGACCCGATGCCCGCTGTCGAGCCAGACAATCCGATACCTGATGACCCGGTGCCCACTGTCGTGCCTGTTGACTCGGAGCCCACTGTCTTGCCTGTCTTGCCAGACGACTCGGTGCCCGCAGTCTTGCCAGACGACTCGGTGCCCGCAGTCTTGCCAGACGACTCGGTGCCCGCAGTCTTGCCAGACGACTCGGTGCCCGCAGTCTTGCCAGACGACTCGGTGCCCACTGTCGTGCCTGGTGACTCGGTGCCCGCCGCTTCGTCTGGGGGCCCAAGACCTGTCGCTCCACCTGGGGGCGGCGCCCGCCCTCCGGGGGCCCAAGACCTGCGCTCCACTTGGGGGTCCGGCGCCCGCCGCTCCGCCTGGGGCCCGAGACCTGTCGCTCCATCTGGGGGTCCGGCGCCCGCCGCCGCTGAGGGCCGAGGGGCCTGGGGGCCCGAGACCTGTCACTCCATCTGGGGGTCCGGCGCCCGCCGCTCCGCCTGAGGGCCCGAGACCTGTCGCCCCGCCTGGGGGCCCGATGCCTGTCGCCCCTCCTGGGGGCCCGATGCCTGTCCCCCCGCCCGGGGGCCCGGTGCCTGTCGCCCCTCCCGGGGGCCCGGTGGGGCCCGGGGGCCTGTGCCGCCCGCCCGGGGGCCCGGTGCCTGCCGCTCCGCCCGGGGGGGGCCCGGTGCCTGCCGCTCCGCCCGGGGGCCCGCTGCCTGCTGCTTCGCCTGGTAATCCGATGTGCCTCTGCCCGGAGTCCAGCCCGATGTGCCTCTGCCCGGAGTCCAGCCCGATGTGCCTCTGCCCGGAGTCCAGCCCGATGTGCCTCTGCCCGGAGTCCAGCCCGATGTGCCTCTGCCCGCAGTCCAGCCCGATGTGCCTCTGCCCGGAGTCCAGCCCGATGTGCCTCTGCCCGGAGTCCAGCCCGATGTGCCTCTGCCCGGAGTCCAGCCCGATGTGCCTCTGCCCGGAGTCCTGCCCGATGTGCCTCTGCCCGGAGTCCTGCCCGATGTGCCCCTGCCCGGTGTGCCCTTTGCCCAATGTGCCCCTGCCCGGTGTGCCCCTGCCCGGTGTGCCGCTGCCCGGAGTGCCGCTGCCCGGAGTCCTGCCCGGTGTGCCAGTCTTTGATATCCCGCCAGTTACCAGACCCGGGCGGTGGAACATTTTGCCCAGCTAGGACTGTTTGGAGCGTCCTGAGGCCGCTCCTTGAGGGGGGGGGGTACTGTCAGGAATGGACTAGCCAGCAATGGTGGGACTCACCTGCCTTTTGATCTGCAGTACCAGGGCTGGCCAGCGGGTGCTCCCAGCAATCAGAGACCCAACTTTGCAGCCAGCTAACACCTGGAACTGATTATGCTGGGGTATTTAAGGGATGGCCAGACTTGCAGACTCTGCCTTGGTGTTGTGTTTCTCTTGGGCCCTGTATCCTGTTCCTGCTCTCTGTTCCTGTCTGATTCTCTGCTACCTGTTCTGATCCCTGGCTTGTCTGACCATCCCTCTGCCTGACCCTCTGTACTACGCTGCCTGCTACCTGTTCTGATCCCTGGCTTGTGACCCTGACCATCCCTCTGCCTGACCCTCTGTACCACGCTGCTAGCTACCTGCTGAACCTGGCCTGTGACCCCGACCAATCTCCGCTTGCTCCCCCTGTACCTACCTGCCCAATTGATATCGACCCGGCCTGCCTGACGACGCTTGCTTGTATCTACTGTTATCTGTGGGTGGTTGGTTTGGTTTGTTTGCACTGTATTATGTTTAGTATTGCACTGCGTTTATGTTTGTATTGTTAGTGTTAATAAATTATATTGTTTATCACATATCTGAAGTCTGCGTTTCCCTGCGTCAGTCACACACCTCTGGTCACACCTGGGAGCCCTGACAGTGTACTGTACTATTTTGGCCTGTGAAGATGGGTTGGTTTCCATTCCAGTTCAAAAGTTCTGGTGATACTATTTGTGTAGGGTGAATGTCAAAGGATTCTGTGCAATATACATAGGAGATATGCTAGCAAAATTGGCAGGTATAGGAAAAGCTGCATTTACATCTGAACTCCAGGAGTTATATTTTTTGCATACTTACATTGGGTCAGCATGGTAAGTGTGCATATCTGGAGGACCAATGGGGATGCTGTAAATCACTGTACTATTCCACTCTAGCTACAGTAAGTCACAATCTCCTGGGTTCTGTGCAAGCGGCTTCCCTTCTGTGCACTGATCAAAGGGTTTTCCTCATTCGGTGCCTCAATTTATAAAACGCCCTTTATTTTTTCAGTGAATACAAGGAGCTCTCTGATTGGAGTAGAACTGTAGGCAAAACTTGTTTTTTTCATTTTGGTTAGAGTAAGGGAGGGTTATAACCCCTGTCAGTTTATTTTTTGCCATCTGTGCCCCATTGGGGAGATTTAATTTCACTTCCTGTCCCATAGCCAAAACAGGAAGTGGGGGAAAATCTCTGCAAAATAAGGGAATTCTTTGGGAGCCCCCAGATCACCAGAACTAGTGTCCTCATTAGAAGATTTCCCCTCTAATACTTTTCTGTGCAGAACCCAAAATTTTACTTTTACTCTCAATTTTGATGATAATGGTAAACTGGACAAATAGAGAGGGCGAATCTAAAGGGCACAAACAGCAATAAAAGCCTAATAGGGCTCTAATCCCTCGTCGCTCCATCCAAAACTTAAAAACGTTTTGCCTTTTACCATACTTTAAGCTCAGTTAGTTCTAGCCTGGACTTCTACTTAAAAATGACATGGCAGGTTAAAGCTTTAGAGGATTTTTAAAGCCGTATTAAACCCAAAAGCAAACATTATATTGCAGCATCTAATTTCATAGATGTGATGGCCGTATTCGTTTTATTTTTATGGCTTCTTTCTTTCTTCTATTTTCATTTGGTGATCCAGCCAGAACAAGCTGTTCTGCAAATGTAGCAGGTTGTGTTGAGTCAAAACATTTACAACTTATGGGTTCTTACAATGATCAGCTTTTTTTAAATTCACATAAAACCTTTATCCCAAAAGAAAAAAAAAAAACGTTTGATGTAACTGTTTGTGTAACTGCAGTGTGACCTTAAGTTTGGTTTCAATTTGTTAGTGTATCTAAATCTGCAAGTGCATCTAACACTCCCCTCCCCCCAGGCTGACAATGCTGCTGACCAAATGTGCACCTTCACCCAAAGTGGGGGCACACTAAGTCTAGGTCTACGCAGGTTGCATTTGATCCATTTTTGCAGTGCTTTTTGCACTGCATTTTGCATTTTTTTACTTGCGCTTTTGCCTGCGTTTCGCATTTTTTTTCATTTTTAAAAATTTTTCTTGTTGCTAGGCAGATTTTAAATGCAAAATGGATAAAGAATGCATCAAAAATACGGCAAAAACGCAATACATGCCTTTCTGCAGCGTTCCCATTGAAGTCTATAGTACCAAAAATGCAACGTTTTACATTCAAAAAAGTCCCTGACCATTTCAAAAAAACGCACTGGGTGAAAACGCTCAGATGTGAACATGTCCCATAGGAAATCATGTTAAATGAAATGTACTGCATTTCCGCAAAACGCTGCAGAAAACGCTTAGGTGTGAACCTAGGGTACTACAGGAGGGAGATGATTTACTGGAGAGTGCAGAATCTGGTACAACTGTGCATGATAGCCAATCAGATTCTAACTTCAGCTTGTTCAATTAAGCTTTGACAAAAAAAAACTGGAAGATGATTGGTTTCTATGCAGAGCTACTACAGAATGTGCACTCTCCAGCTTTAGTAAATAAACCCTGAGGTGTGCTACTGGTCAGATCACGAGGTGAAAACAAAGGAGAAAAAGCCCAAAAAAAGAAAACAAATGCAGCCACCACATCTAATATATTACATTTTTGGTTTAGGGTCTCATACCACTTTCAGCAAGTAAAAAGCACTGAAAAAGGTAAGCAGCAATTATGCTATGGTAATGGAAATATAACAAATAGAAATGAGGCGTTATTCAAATTTAGCTGCAAAGGTGCAAATGCACTCTAATTTCTTCAGACGGCTGCTTCCACTCTACAGATACCTCACAGATAACGATAGTCAAATTCATTTCACCACATCCATCAATCAGGTCGAAACTTTTAGACTACATTCACGTGGGCAGCTAGAGGGTGATAAAACCAGGTGGATAAGTCACGGGTTTACTGCTCCCCAACCACCCACCTGAAGCTGGGCACAGGGCCGCTCAGGACTGTACACATGCTACGGCAAAAATGAAATAGTATGTTGCAGTTCTGCCACTGAACATGATCAATGCAAGTCTATGGGGCCGCACTGCAGCCGCAGGCAATGCACATGGCTGTGGCACCATAGTGCTGCATTTGATTAAATCAGGAGGTGAGGTGGTGACATAATGCCTCCTCACCGCCTTTCAAATACCCTGTGAAGAGTGATTCAGCATGGATCACTCTTTAGAGAGCACTGCATGTGTGAAAGAGCCCTTAGCGCAGGATTCTCCAAACTATGGTCCTCCAGGACCTGTTGAAGAAATGCAAGTCCCATGAGGCCTTGCAAGACTCTCACAGCCACAGGCAAGACTCCCAGAGGCAGAGGCATGATGGGACTTGTAGAACTTCAACATCTGGAGGGCCATAGTTTGGAGACCCTTGCTTAGTGCATGCCTGATGCTGAGCTGGGGCGGACTGACAAGTTCCTGAGCAGGGGCGGACTGACAACTCATGGGGCCCCCGGGCAATAGGGGATCATGGGGCCCCTGTGTCCTTGCCCAAAAGCCAAAAAGCCTATGAAAAAGGTGCCAGGGGCATCTCATGGGGCCCCCTACTGACCTCGAGCCCTCGGGCAGTGCCCGAATTTCCAAATGGTCAGTCCGCCCCTGTTCCTGAGTCTTGGGTCAGGAACAGTCTGACTCAAGGATTCACTATGAGAAAATATACAGCAATAAGGAAAATGGACTGATAAAAAAAAACAAACAGATTCCTCCATCCACACAAGAAAGATGGATAGAGGAATCTTCCCAACTGTGTCGTATTCTGATACTGGAACTCTGCAAAGGATTTCCAATATTCCCATTTGACAGAAGTCAATCATTAGATCAACTTCTGTTGTGAGAAACAAGCGTACGTGGACCAGAAATCGGACAGTCCCTGCTGAACCATTCACATTTCGATCCATCTATAAGCAGCTTGGGAAGAGGGTGGCATTAGCAGATTTTCAAAGGATGCATCTTTTTTTCTGTATCTAAAAGTAAAGAAACAAAGCATGAGTTAGTATAATTTGCATATATTTTGCTGTCCTAAATAGGTCCACATGTTGAGGTTCTTGTGCCAAATGTACGTTTGTGGAGGAATAGGTCATGGAAGATGACTGATAAAAGTTACATATTAATTTCAAATTGTGAAATCAAGAATGGCTGCAGAGAAGTTATTTTAAAGCAAACACAGCAATTGAAAGAAATGATATCACCACCAGCTTCCAGAATGGTTCATACTCCAGCTTTGTCTCCTAGATTAGAGGACTCCCAGGAGACCATCTCACTGCATTTTGTCTTTTCAGTGGGCTAATGGTAACATTCCTGCCCAGTAATCTAATGATATGCAATGAA